TTGAGAGGTTAAATAGCTCTCGTCGAGTTCTATCGCACAGTATGTTTGTTTCAATTGTACTTGCACAACTGCCAACACAAGCTGCATGCAAAGTCTGTATACAAAGTCCAAGTCAAACCTTACCAACCAGCAACGAGGAGCTGTATACGAAGAGCTTCTTCTACGCAGTGTGGACGGCAAGGTCTCACGTGCATCCATTGCGACCATTGCGCAAGCGTTTGGTGTCCACACTTCGACCGTATCCAGGATATTGCAACGCGGCCGAGCGATGGTAAGCCCAGGCTGCCGAGCCGACGTATCCTCCCGAATGAACAACACAGGGCGACGTAAAACCTACACAATCAGTGAGATCGAGCAGCGAATTATGGCAACAACTTTGACTCAGCGTCAGACGTATCGTGCATTGTCAACAGCCATTGGAGTCTCGTCTTGGACCATTTGGAACTGTACATCAAGCACAAGTGGGTAACACGTCGATCAAACTGGACAAAACCGAAACTCAAACCTGAGCACTTGCTTCAGCGCTTCGACTTTTGCTCAAATCTTCTTCAGGACTACAGTAAGAGCAATGACAATGAGTTGTTTAATGTAGTCCATATTGATGAGAAATAATTTTACATCACGAAAATGCGCCGCCGCTTTTACCTCTGGGCCGATGAAGACAACCCGCCGAGACACGTCCAATCCAAGAGTCACATCACCAAGGTGATGTTTTGGGTTGCTGTTGCTGAACCACGTAGCGGCTGGGACGGCAAGGTTGGATGTTGGCCGTTTGTTTCAAGAATGGCTGTGCATACTTCCTTTAGTGCATCGTCGACTGCGAAGTTGGAGAAGACCTTTGGCACGTTGGATCGAGTTATGCGTGCAATTGTCGAGGCAAAGAGCGGTAATACGTACAAGATCCCGCGGAGTAAGGAAAGGGGCGAAGATACAATCGACGATGACGTCGTGGCGAGCGGCAATTGATGAACCTTCGTTTAGATGAGGAAAGTAGGTTGGATGAGTTGTGTGATCTTGTTAACACCATTGCCGTTTAGTTTATTTTAAATACAGATTCTTTGTACCTGAATTTTGTATGCCTTTAAATATTCGTCTGCAATTGCTCCCAACCAGAGGTAGTATTTGACAAACCTTCACCACTTAACGATCATGGCAGGGAGGTTGTCCACAAGCAGCAGGATCTTGCGTCCTTACGAAACCATTCGATCGTTCATGGATTTCAGGTACGTGCTAAAGACCTCCGACGTCATCCAGGCTATTTTACTCGACTGGTAGTCAAACTGAGGTCTTGGGCAGTTCGACCATTGAAGCACCTTGGCTGCATGTCTGTCCCGATGAACAAGGGGTCAACAACATCGGAACCGTCGGCATTCGTGGTAAGAGCAACGGTTACCCTCTTTTTACTTTTTCGTTCCAGGCGCATGGTTGCGCGTAATGGAACGGTGTGGCGACAGACAGTAGATGTATGCAGTCTCATCCATGTTGTACACGTTTGTAGGGCTGTAGCCACTCGTAGTGTGTCGAACTTCTTCGTGGCCTTGTTACACGGCACTTCGTGGGGTAGATGCAGCTTCTCCATGCTGTGTTTTGCTTGTGAGGCCATGCTTGCACTGAAACTTCTACAGCCATCCTTTCGAATAGGACGAACACTGCGTTGGGGGCAGATTGAGGCGGGTGGCGATTGAAATTGCTTGTTCTCGTATGAGCTCTTCCGTTAGGCATAAGCCAAGTTGCTCACAGCCTAGGAACCATTGGAGACTTTCGGTTTCGGGGTATGGAGATTTAACTGTACGTTCAATGTACCGCGCCTTGTTGTCGACGCGTTGTATTTGTGTTGCACCGCGTTTAAGGGCCTTACTAATGGCAGATTTTGTTGAGTTGTCGCAAGTGCGAACGTTTGCGCTGCCCACTTTGCCAATTCATTGTATGTCGCTTGTGGGTTTTGCATGTGCTGCGCGAACAAGTCGCTCTTGTCGGCCAGTTTCATCCGCAGTTTCATTTTGAAGTGATGGAGATCAAAAGTACATTGCTGATTAAAAATTCAAGTATTCCTAGTGGGATTTGCGTTGTTAAGTCGTAGGGGGTGTTGGGTTTGCAGTACCCGCGCCTACGCCTGGGGTGATCAGTAGTTGTACATAAATGTCTGCTACAATGTATCAGACGTTTCTTATCTGCTCGAACAGTGGCGGTGGAGCTTGTCATCATCGCATCACGCTTCGACACTGGGAAACTGACGTCACCGCCACCATGGAGTTGAATTCCACAGCTGCCGCTGGCAGAGGTAGCAACCGCTTTCGGTGGTGGGCTCAGTCGAACTCCGCTAGGTCCGGTCGGGAATGGCAGAGCCACACATACGATTTGGCCACCATGTGTTCGGTACAGGTGGCCACCGAACAAGAGTGTTCCTAGCCTCGCAAACTTCCCTCGCGCTTCTCCCATTCACCAAGTCGCGCCGCGACATACCTTCTATTCGTCCACCAACAAATCCCTCCATTCAATACACACAAGGCGCCGTCATGTCCCTCACACATGCAGCACGAACAGGCAATGTTCAAGATGTTCGGGCGTGCTTGAGCCAAGGAATGCCCGTCGACGGGGCTGGGGTATTCAGCTCGACCCAATTCCTCCAACTAATCCTCACGAAACCTTGAAACACTAGGATGACTGGTCACCGCTTATGTGGACAGCCTTCTACGGACATCAAGAATGTGCACAAGTCTTGATTGACCACGGAGCTGACATAAACTTCGTCTTTTACCAAGACAACAAGAATGCGTTCGATTGCGCCACCGACAACAACCAATTTGAATTTCTCCGATTCCTACAACAATTTCCCACAACAACAAAGCCTG